CGCAGCAGGAATTGCCGGGCGGCCCTGACGGTGAAAGCCTACCTGCTGGGCAAGGAGGGGGCGGCCCGAGAGATCCGCCGCTTCTCCCTGCCAACGCCCGCCCGCTACCAGGCCATCTACGACCGCGTCGCCGAGCTCTTCCAGGGGCTGCTGCGGGCCGGGCCGCCGCCCGCCTGCCGCATGCACTACAAGGGTGAGGGGCGGCGGGGGGGCCCGCTGGGGGTCAGGCCCCGCGATCGGTGCCCCGGGGGTGGGAAGGCTCAGGGCACGGGGCTGTCTCTCTGCCTTCCTCCTCCCCCGGGCCCCCGTGACACCTGGCCGGGTGCCTAACCCTGCGCTCTGCCCCCTCCAGATGAAGACGGCGACCTGATCGCTTTTTCCAGCGACGAGGAGCTGGAGATGGCGATGCCTTACGTGCAGAACGGCGTCTTCCGTGTTTACATCAAAGGTAACACCGCACGGCTCCCAGGGGCGGTAGCGGGGTTTGCCCTGTGTGCTCGCTGGCAGGCCGCCGAACATGGGAGAAGCGAGCCCCGGCCCTTCCCCTTGTCCTCAAGGGCCTGATGTAACATGCGGCCTTCAGGGGGGCGGGGGGGGGAGAGAAATAAAGGGCAGGGTAGTGCCAGAACGGGAACCCTCCCTGCTGAGGTGTGGTGAAGGGGTGACAGTTTCTTCTTAGCAATGTCATCTCAGCGGGCCCACTGTTGTTGTGCTGGCTCCCTGGAAACACTACCCTGCCACCGGTATTTTTAATGCAGTATGTTAGGAAGCCTTAGTTCCAGCTTATTCAGTGCATAGTTGCTCCCTCATCCCTCCTGTTCAGGTAGATACCTGCAAAGCTTTATCCACAGTCCATCTAATGAGTCACACAAGCCAGTGGCTGTTGTCCGTGTTCTCATCTGTTATGCCTCCTGGCATTTATTCCTAACTCACTCTCCAGAAACATTTTGTTCTTGCAGTGCTTAGGAAGGTAGGACGAGAAGCCAAATGGGGTAGTGCAAGTACTAATCTAAAATAAACACTCTAAGAGACTGTTAAGGATGAGGCATGCCCAGTTTGAGGAGCAGGTATCTTTACGAAACCCCTTCACACTTGGTTTAAGCTCTCTTACATGCCCCCAGCATGGCCATGGTTTGGCAGCCAGTGTAAAAATAAACTGACCTAGTAAGTCAATACCTAAACGGTGCTTTTGCCAAGAAAGGTTATGATCATTGAGGCCCCTTCCAACCTGGTATTCTATGAATACTGCTCTGACAGGGGCTGTTTGTACTTCCTTCTCTGCCTGATTTCCAGCCTTTAAATAGTAACTTTGTTCTTGATGCAAAGTTTCCTTTCCATAATAGAGAAAAAGGAGTGCAAGCGGGAACATCGCGGGCAGTGCAACCAGGAGCCTCCTCGCGACATGGTGCACCCCAATGTGATCTGTGATGGCTGCGAAGGACCGGTGGTGGGTGCCAGGTTCAAGTGCACGGTCTGTCCAGACTATGACCTGTGCAGCACCTGCGAGGGTAAAGGCATCCACAAGGAGCACAACATGGTGATGTTTCAAAGTCCACTGCTAAACCCATTTGAGGTGAGCAAAATCTATGGAGGGGAACTAATGAATGGGATATTCTTCAAATTGTCCTGAGTTTCAGTTACTGGGACTCCGGCTGCGTGAACAGTGTCACATGAGTGTTACCCTTTGCAGTGGCTTCCCCGAGGACGCTGGCTCCGGAAGATGCGGCATGGTGTGCCACCCTTCCCATGGATGCACTGCTGGGGATATCCCGGCCCTGCAGCTCCGTGCCAAAACGCCGAACAAGCCCAGGCCAGTGCTGCACCCTCCAGTCCACCCACTGCGGAAGGTAAGAGGAGATGCTCTGGTAAACAAGGTGGTGGTGGAGCCAGCATAGCTGAGATTCTGCAGCACAGGATAGAATCAGGGTGGATAAAACACATAGGAACTAATCTAACTTGCTTGAACTAATTAGCACCTTTCAGCACAGAACAGGATTATTTTAAGGCATGCTTGGGCCCATGCAATTGATGAGGATGCAGAGAGTATCTGGAAGCAAACCAAGCCAAGCTGTTAGGTCAAGCATGTTGCTACTCTACTCCAGATCTGCCTTTCAGCATGGCTAATGAGCCTTAACAATGCTAATGCCACTGTTTTTCTGTTCCAGTTTTTGTCTCTATACTGCCTTTGTTGTGCAGTGTATGTGAGTGACAGGAAATGAGCACCAAGATCTCGTGGGGATACGCTCTGTAGGTGCTCTCTCCCTCTGAGCTATGTGTGCTAACAGAAATTGTTTTTCTAGAAGCTTCTACTAACAGCCCACCTCAGGACCCCAACGTCGCCTTCTTAAAGAATGTTGGGGAGAGTGTTGCAGCTTTTCTGAGCCCCCTGGGTAAGTGACTGACTTTGTTACTCCAATCCCTGAGACTGGTCCTTCTAACAGGAACAGCACTCAGCTGTTGTGACGGATACCACAACCACTTCATGCTACCAGGCATAGAAGGCTTAATTTACTCCTGGTACTACTATTAATGCCTAGGCTTAGAACAGCCACTCGGTACCTTTCCAGAGCCCTCCTTTGGGTGGGAATGATGAAAGATTTCATTAACGTTTCACTACTGTAACAAAAGTCAGTGGTGACTCGGGATTTTGCCTGGCTTACACGGACCTAGATAACTTCTGCCTGGGCCCTCTAAATGTACAGCTTGTCTAGAGGAAGATGACTATTTGGTGCTTAACTATTCTTTGTTTAAAGAATGCTTTGCATTTTAATTCTACATGTTAATGTCAAACTGTAGGATTACAGAAACCTTACAGCATTTAGACCAGGATTGATCCATGCTCATTCAGGACTGTGCTTTGGAAAATTCTCTAAGACCTTCTCCATCTCAAATGCACCTCTAGGTATTGAAGTTGACATTGATGTGGAACATGGAGGACAGAGAAGCAAAGTGACTCCTGCTTCTTCCAGTCAAGAGAACAGTGCTGAGTCAAACAGCAGTACTCTTAACCAGAATGTTCAGACCAAACCAGACTGGAGTAACACAGATTCTGCTACAGAAGTAAATGCTGTTGCAGAGCAGATACAAGAGATGGTGATAGATCCTGTGCCTACACAAATGGAAGATGGCAGCCTCCAGTCCCAGGTACAAGAACAGTGACACTAATTTAGTTAATAATGCTTGCTGCAGCTTTACTAAAAAGGAAGATAATAGTTTAGCATGCATTGTGGGATTGAATATTAAGATGTCAGCAGATTAAGTGGTATACAGCACCTTTGGTCTACGGGCTTACAACAAAAGTGATGGGACATCGTGTGGATGTAACTCTTTGTATTAAAGGCAGATAGGAGCATGTCTCCTACCTGGAGAGCACTGCAGCACATGGACCCTTTTTCTTTCCATTTCAGGAACCGAGTGAGTCCAGCAGTTCATCAGGGGGTGAGGAGGACTGGACCCACCTATCTTCCAAAGAAGTGGATCCTTCCACAGGTGAACTGCAGTCTCTGCAGATGCCAGAGGGTCCCAGCTCCCTGGATGTATCTCAGGATCCTCCCCAACCAGGACCTACAGGACTGAGAGAAGCTGCACTCTACCCACATCTCCCACCAGGTATGAGAATGTGCCCAGGTTCCATAGCTGAGAGTAGTTTTCACTCAGGAACTGCCAGCTTGCTTGACATAAGTAAACCTGCTTTTAGAGATGGTAGAAACAAGGTTGCAAGTTACAGCTGAACTTGTCCATAACTTCATTAGCAGGTATGGCAGCTCTTGCACCCTGGTAGAGACAGACAGGTGGTTCTCCTCTTGAATGTGGGCAGCTAAGTCTGAACAGGACTTTCACACCTTAGACTAACAGGCCATTTGAGCAATGTGAAGGAAGGTGGTGTCCTGAATCCTGTGCTTACTCTGTGCTCTGAGAGCCTTTTAATGCTGAATGCAGACCAGTACATCTGTGGCTTTAAGAGAGCATTTTTCTGGTGGGAACAAATACCAGTATACAAGGCCACTTAAGGGAGATCAACAGCAGAGTCTTACAACAAGGCCAGCTGAGTCTGACTCAGCAGTTTTCTTAGCTAGTTATGTATCTTCTATCTCGAACATCTGCTCTCCTGGGAGACAAAGGAAAGCATGTCTTCTAGCTTTTAATCAGCTATGCTAGATTTACTAGGATTGGTGTTAACCCTACCTACTGTGGTATTAACACCCTTGGCTGGTTTGCCAATTACATGAAATACTTCAACTTTAAACTGTTCTCCTTTTTAACAGAAGCAGACCCTCGCCTCATTGAATCTCTGTCCCAGATGCTCTCTATGGGCTTCTCTGATGAGGGTGGATGGCTCACTCGACTCCTGCAGACAAAGAACTGCGACATTGGGGCAGCACTAGATGCCATCCAATATTCCAAACAGCCACCTCACTTGTAGTCTGTGTAACAAAAAGCACTTTCCTTCTAACCGAAAGCAGACCATGCAGTACAACTCACTCAGCGGTTCACCTTTCTTCCTGCTAAGGGTTTCTGTCTCATGTTCCTAAGTGCTTGTAGAATGGAGGACAAATAAAGAACACTTTCTGTGATGGGTCTGTGTGTGTATTTAAGTATCATAGATGTATTATTTCTGTTTGCTGTAACTCAGTCAGGACTAGGTGAAGGGCAGGTGACTTCAAGCAGCTCCCTCTGTGAGGGAGGCAGGCCTGCCTTCTTGCACATACCTTGGTGAACCCTTAGGGCTATGCTTCTGAAGAGAAACCTAATGCTATGCTGGCTTTTAGCCTGCTCTGCAGCTCTGGAAGAAAGGGGTTGCCATGGGAGATCTAAACAAAGAGGTAGTGCAGGGGAAAAAAGCTGTAGTTCATAAGGGGGAGGTAATCACAGAATTTAATTGTATTGGCCAGGACTCCTTAGAGCCTGGAAGCTTCCTCCCCCCAAGCTGACCTACTTCCATTCTTTTAGCTGACAAGGTTGCTAGACAACACTGCATAACCCTAGTACTTGTCCACTGCAACACTCTCTTCCACCCTTGTACCCTTCCCCCAAACACAGCCACAAAGCAAGGTGAGAGCTTTATTAGTGCAGTTCTGTAAGACTTGAGTAAAGCCACTTTCAGTTCAAAATCTTGCCAAATACATTGTAGAGACAAACAAGAAAGCAATGCCAAATACACCTGAACTTACCAGAGATCATCATCAAACTCTTCACCTGTGCAGAAGAGCTGTTCAAAAGAAATGTTGCTAGGCTTTAGCCCAGTGTTACAGTTAGGAAGGGTGTTCGCCTGCCTTGTGCTGACCAAATGGCACCTTCCTGCAGTGGTCTCTACCCCACCAGATCCTGCCCTTAGCAAGTGGCTTTGAGGTTCTTTGAACACCACATCCTCCTCAGCTGAGCGCCTGGTGCTGGGCATTGTGGTGCCAGGCAGCTTCGAGGCAAGCTGCTCCGTGCTAGCAGCACACTTTTTAAATTTAAAACTTGTACCTTGAGGTAGAGTTCTTCCAGCCTGTTCTGAGCAGCTACTGGCCATACCAGCATCTGCCGCAGTGGTGCTGTGTAGCCCCAACCTTCCACTGCCCTCCTGTGGTGACAAGGTGACCCTGGCACTGTTTTCACTACAACTGTCCGAACATGAGAGAAATTTTTCCCACTTTGAGGGTTTGGTATGAGCAGTTGGGGTTGGTGTGTTCGCCTCAGGCACTACAGACTCACAGACAGCAGGAACCACACTGTCTCCAGAAACAGCATCTCCATCATCTTCATTGGGCGATGCTACTAAACATTTCCTGCGCTGTAAAAAGAGAACTTGGTTATAAATGCAGCACATGTGGCCAAGCTGCACAGAAACAGGCAAAGAACACTCAGATCCTTCAAATGCACTTTAATTCTCACCAGCCCTCTTGAGGCAGAACTGAGGCTGATGCAGTGGGTGTGCCTGTGATCTCTGGGCTGTGGAGACTCAGGCCAACCTCAGTGGGACTGCAGGTGATCCCAGTGACCTCAACGATCACACGCTCTACAAGCAAAGTGGCACAGATCCCAGCTGTGCCCACGGAGGAATCCAGCTCAACCACTCAGCCTACACAAAGTGGCATTGTTTTGCCTGATGAGAACCCTTCAGACAGAAACTCTGGACATAATTTTCATCTCCTCCCCAGTCATTCAAACAGAAGAGCAGAGGAAGACTCATAAAAATTCAAAATTATGACAACACAAAAGAGGTCAAGAGAACACTCTTGGTTTACTGGTAGGAAGCATCTTCTATAATACATCAGCAGTTCTAACCTTTTTGGCTTGGTAGGCAAGCTGGAAAACTCCATTTTCTTCTGCATACTCCTGAATATCACTGGAGAGGGAGCTCCTCTGGTGTTTCCTGGCCAAAAAAAACCATTCATAAAAGAGGACAGATTAGCTCCACTGTGTATTTTTCCCACAAATCACCAGAAATTTTCATAAAATGCTCTAGCAATAAGAGAAGTTCTACCCCCAGAAAACAAATCCCTGCACAGCTCAGGTTGTACATTGCAACCTGTACTTTGTGCAGCTATCAGAGATAAACTACCTCCAAACCAAATGTCACCACTGGACAGGAATTACAAAAAAAAAAAGTTCTTTCTGTACCTTTCTTCTTCCACGGTGTTCCTCCTCCGGGAACAGAACCATTGCCTTTCTGCACCTGCTGCCTCCTCCTCATCTTCCTGATCTTCACTGTCCTTGTCCAGATATTTACTCCAGCGACTGACTTCTGCCCTTCCCTCCTACAACACTGAAGAATTACTGAAACAGCAAAATACAGGCTTCTCATTTCTGGCACTGTTATGTAGGTGCTGAATGCCTCAAATCACAAGTCAGTTTAGGACATGTTCCTGTTCCCAGGTTCAGTATCCTGGTGGAGCAGAGTTTCTGGTACATCTCATTCTCTCTGCTGGAACCTCTCTTTATGCTCTCTCTGTATGCTCTTTCAGCTGTCTGAGTCCATATAAAGGGATCACTGGTTTCACTTTGATTCACTGAGGTCAGTACGGCTTGGTATTCACCTCAGCTTTGTAGGTTTCTTACCTGTTGGAACAAACTGTCTTCATGTTGGGCTGCTATTTTTCTTCTGTCATTTATAGAGTCTTCTGTGCACCTAAAATAGAGGTTTAAACTTGAGTTTCTAGAGCACACTTCTGTTCGTTGATTCACAGTTTTCAGATCGCCTAGTCATAGCACAAGGGACTGTATAGAAAGCACGGATAGGAACACCAGACAGAAGGCACGTCAGAAAAAAAAAAAAGATCTATAGGAAAGCAGATGTCAAATGAAGGCTTGGCAAGACATATCTCCAAATACTTGAAAAAAATCTAGTTAAAGGATAGCCCTCCTTTCAGTACAAATAAGAGTAGTGAGTTTGATCTAAAGCCACTAATCATGAAATGATAAATTCTAACTTATCATAACTAGGGATATGTGTGTCTTTGGGACAACAGCTTAAACCCACTGATTATATCCCAAGCAACCAAGGAAAAAGGGAAGTTATTTCACAATGTTTTGAATTTCACAATGTTTTGAGAACAGAAATAGCAACCCTTTTCAATAAAGTGAACAAACAATCAGTTTTCTTCCCAAAGCTTAACAGTGAAGCACTGCATATACATGACTAAGTTATCTGACTTTGATTTCTGAAAATAACCTTGAATAAAAAGGAAGCTGGACGAGTTCAAGATCAGTTCAAGATGAGGTGATTTGTAAACCAATTCAGGAATGAAATAAACAGGAAAGTGCTACTCAGATTCTCCAGACCAGCAGGAATTACACCCAAATATTTGCACTAAACAAGTCTTTTCATCAACAGCAGCAGTGATTGCTCAACAGATTCACAGAAATCCCTGAATACCAGCAGTTGGGTAGCAACAGCTTAGAGGGGAGGATGCACCTCTGCATGGCTTGTCAGTCTGCAAGATGGACATCTCCACAGTCAGCTTGTCAAACAGTAAACAAGACCAATTTAAAAAAACCCTCAACAACCCTATTACATATATTTTAATAGGTAAAGGTCTGACCAACCCATACTATTGATCAACTAAACTTATCTGAAAAAAATCCTTGTCAAAAGAAACATGCCGGGACACTAAACCCAAGAAATAGCTTGTTCTATGAGGTGATGACAAAACTTAAATGTGTCATGGCTTTACAACAGGACAGAAAACCCTCCTGTGAGCTCAAACCAGGTAAGAGGCAACTAGTGCGTGAAGACAGTCATCAACTGTAGCACAACAAAAGAAAAAAGCAGATAAAGATTAAACACTCTACCGAGATGTCCAACTAATTGCTTCCTCTGCCTCACCCTGCAGCAAGTTTAATTTCTGGACATGGCGCCTACAGTCCAGACCAGACCCTTGGCCGTAAACCTGTAAAAAAGTAATAAAACAAGGCAGAAGGGAATAGCACAAAGTGCGGCTGCACCCCGGGTAATACTGAAGTGCTAACTCAAGTTAGCACATATGGCTGAGCGTGCGATGTCCTGGGTAGGCTAGGTGCCACACTGCGCTCCCCACTGACACCCTACAGGGCTCTCCAGCACCACGCCGGGCTTCCCATTGCCACCGCACGGCTCCTCCCCGGCCCGGCCCGGCAGCGGTGTCAGAGACGCCGCGGGTCGCCCCCCCGGCCCAGGCCGCGCCGGCCACTGACCTTCTGCACCGTCTGCCGCTGGCCGCACACGCTGCAGCTCCACTTCCCGCTCCGCTTGGCCTAGGAGGGCGCAGAGAGGGTCAGGCAGGGCCCGCCGCCCGCTCCCCGGCCCGGCCCGGCCCGCTTCCCGTCCTTTACAGTCCAAATGCCAGCCAAAAGCTGTAGCAAACCTCGCCTTCAGCATGAGGTCTGCTCTTGCCAAACAGCAGCAGCTCTCGCTCCGGCCCTGCAGGGCAGATGCCTGCATAGTGAGATGAAGTTATCTGTAGGAACAGCATTCATTCTCCTTCCTTGGCACGCAGGCCCTGCTACCAGAAAGCTAACTCTTAGTTTCTTCTGGTCTTAATTGATTTAAAAGAGAAGTCACTTGGTCTCCCAGTTATTTTGTCTCTAACTGGAAAGAGATCTAGTCTATTGAGGTTTCCCATAATGGGCTGATGGCAGAGGGTCACACTGCTTTGAATTCTTCCTCTTTAGGTATAAATGCCCTTCGATGTGTGGTACTTTCTAGGAGCACATCCACTGGTAGACTCTTGGTACAGGAGATGTTCAGAAAGGACACACTGAGCAGCTGCAGGTGGCACAACACTCCTGCACATCTTCCTGCCCCAAGAATTTGTGAGGGCTGACTGATTAGAGTATTCTTAGGAGCCCTCCTAAAAATCAGACTCTTTACTAAAAACGGAGAGTCAGCAAGAGAAAATGAATGTTTACTGACAGGGAAAGTCCAGCAGACCAGTGTGCCACTGCCCTGTAATGCTGAGGCTGACTCACCAACTTCTAATTTAGGAACTTATTCCCTCATTATAACCATCCTGAGCCCATTGATTGACTTAGTATTACTTCTGCACTGAAGTCAAGGAGCTTGTGGCTTCCCAGACAAACTAAAAACAATGGCTTTCAAATAATCAGAAAAGCAAATGCTAGAAAATCAGATTTGTCTGAATGCTGAAGGAGAAAGAAAGTGATGATACACTTTAAAAATGCCAAATCACATCTGAAAGAAACCTGCAGATCTGCAAAATGGCTGTGTTTAGATCTTAGGGTGCTGGGAGCAGTGGGGCACATTTGCATCATAGCTGCTGAGTCACAGAACAGCACTGAAGAACTTACGAGACTATTTATAGGTCGGGGTCCTATAGCACTTGACTACACTGCATTAGCTCTCAGATTGAGCAGCCAGAGGTGAAAAATGGTTTCAAGCCAGGCTGCATCTGCTGTGCAAGTTACCCAGGAACCTACAGCAAACAAGGGTAGGCAAGGAGCAGTTACCGTCTGAAATAAAACTTCATTAAAATAAAAGAGAGCAAAAGGCAGACATGCATAATTTACGGTGGTAATTCTATGTCAGGGGCTATTAGGTTCTAGTTGCTCTTGAGAATGTAAATCTAATTCTGTCAGCCAGAGTGGCCAAAGAAGCACCTACACAAAACAGTCACTGTCAGAAGCCCCTTAATGACTCGAAACTATTGTAATTGTGTAGTTACTGGTCTCTGATTAAACACCCCCCCCCAAATACAAAATACCAACCCATCCTGCTATCTGCCATGTTATCTCCCTGTTTTATCTTCCAAAGACAATTCCTGCTTTCTTGAGTTCACCCTGACACAGAGGAAAGTTCATAGTCACTGGATGAACTGAACTGCCTCTCTACCTTCTTCTGATCTTTGATCTTCTGCAGAATGTCGACCTTTTTCTCAAAGTAGTTGACAAGGGCTGTTTCCGTCAGCATGGAAGCTAGGATCTGCTCAAAGGAGATAGACCAGTCAGTGTCAATGGTACTACCATACCTGGCAGCTGAACTACTGCCTTCACAACCAACCAGGACCGTGTCGTCTGCAATGTCTTCACACTGCAGGGAGCCTGTGCTGACCATGGAGTAGGAAGACATGGACATATCATCTTTGGTTTCATCATCTGATAGCAGCTGTAAAGGAGAGCCTTGTCCTTCCCCTGACACATCTCCTGGAGTTTGGTTCTCCTGCTGTGTTTTTTCAGGCTGAGCATCTCCGCAGGTTTTCTCCTCATGGTCAGCTTGGGGTTGCTGCTCCACTGCTGAATTCTGACTCTGTTCAGATGTTGGTGACTCCTCTTCACTCACAGGATCTTGGGTATTGTTTGCTTTGTAGTCCTCAGACTTCCTCATGGGCTTGCTGGAGAATTTTTTTCCAACCTCCCCAATTCGCAGAAGGAGACTGGCTACAGTGGCAATTGCATGGTACAGCTCTTGCTCCACTGGGTCCTCACTGAACATGTTGTAAAGGGTCTTGCATAACTCTATGAATTGTTCCTTTAAAATGCAAAGACCAAAAAAATCATATTTCACGCTGAAAAAAATTGACAGTGGCAGATCACAGAATATCTCAAGTTGGAAGGGACCCATAAGGACTGAGTCCAACTCCCTGCTCCTTGTAGGACTACTTAAAAACAAAACGTATGACTAAGAGCATCATCCAGATGCTCCTTGAGATGAAGCAACAGGCACCATGTTGACTGACTCCTTGTTTATCTGCCTCCCCACCAAGTGCCAACTTATTGTACTAATTCGGAACAGTTCAATACAGGCAAAATCTCCTCTCTCTGCCATAGTGGATAAACTGAGACACAGCTAGCAATTTAACAGTGGTGAGGGTTTTTTGCTGACAGATGAAGAAAGTAGTCCCATATTCACATCTGAGAACACCTAAAGTTTTACTTCTGTCCTGCTACTCTTCTGTGGTCAGCTTCTAAGCATTTCCAAACTAGTTTAAGTAGCACCCATCAAGGAAATTAGAGACAGAAAAGATCACACCAGTCATCAGACTCTCCTTCCTGCAACCACATTCTTTGCTCTCCACCAAGCAACTGTAACTTGAGGCAGTGCAAAACCGAAAAAGCCAAACAAGTTTATATGACTGATGTCATATTTGAAACATACTGCTCTGGAGAGAAAACACAGGTTGTAGTTCTTATAGGAAAAACTGGTCTGAGAGGCAGAGAGAATCGAATAGATTTAACTGGTGGAAACAAAACAGTTTGTCCATGTCCACTGAGGAATTCAACACAAACATGCAGAATTAGAGGCTTCTAAAGCTTACCAGACCAGAACAGCAGGGCAATCTACAGGCAAGGACTGAATATGCTGTCAAAAGAGCTGCACATACTGCTGAATTCCCATTAAACTGTCAGTCATCTAACTGGAAACCTTCAGATTCACTTCTTACCTGGCTCATTTTGGGGAGATCTTTAATGGTTTCCTTCTTGGACTCTTTTTCCTTGGCCCACATTCTTAGGTAGTATCTGTAGTCCTGTGGACTAGTACCTTTCTCCTCTGCAAGGTAAGAACAAGCCACTGCTGTCAGGCAGTTCACTGAAAAAGTGAATGCTGTGCCAACAAAAATCATGCTGGAAGCAGATTTTATTGACAGTTCAGGAAAGCATCCACCAGGGAGGCTGCATTGTTTTCCGCTGGTTTATGATCCAGCTCAGCAGAGCAAAGATTTTAATACTTCTGCATCAGCTTGACTTCTCATAAATGAACTCTACAAGTTAACAACTTACCAAATATGATTTACAAATGTTATGATCTGGTACGTAAAAGAGTCACAACAGTGAGGCATAAGAGCTCGATTTCCCAGCTCATATCCCACTTTACCTCTGTCCACAAGGGACACTTTGAAAGGTCTCCTTCATACAGCAACAGACAATGAACAGTTCAGAATATGAGAGAGACAAGACTAGAATGTGGTCTATTTATGATGAAATTACCTTTTTCTGGACCATTCTCATTTCTCCTTCCTTTATCTTCTTGGGTTTCTAAAAAATTATGGGAAGAATAATAATTAGCTGATTTTCAGCAATCAACACATGATGAACCTAAGGCAACTCATACACAAATTAAAATCTTACAAGAATATATTTAATAGAAGTTAGATCTCACACTCCCATGTCATGTTTGGAGGAATGAGCAGAACAGGATGGAAGCAAGAGACTGATGGGATGAACTGGATAAAAAGCCACAGTGAAAAAGGGGGTTCAAGAGCTAAGGTAGAGGGCAGAACTCTTAAAAGAAAGGGTGAGACACAGATATGAAAGACAGTTAAGCAATGTGATGGCTTAAAGACAAAGAAGTTCAGTTATCCAAAGCAAGATAATGAATGGGAAAAAACCCAAACCACTGCTGAGCACATACGTGATTATTATCTACACTCACTGACTGAACTGACACTTTAAGAGTAATTTGCAGAGTCTAACTACAGACTTCACTTCTGGTTCCCTATAGACTATGTAGGAAGTCTTGGTTCAACTTAGACTGCTAAATCAGCCACGTAGCACCAAACAGCACAACTACCCCTTGTACTTACTCGGATTTTTTTTTTTTGAGCATTACTACATTTTGGTAAACATTTAGCACAGTTGACATACTTTGACCTCCTATTTTACAATCCCTAAAATAGTGGTTTAAGAAATACAGTACATTAGGCTACTAACAGCTTTGCAATTTGGTGGTATGCATCCTTATTCCTTTAAATTAGAAGAACTGTGGAGTAGGCACAGGTATCATCTACCCAGGCCAGGAAGCCCAGCACCCCCCATGCTCTGCCCTGAGCATATTTTCTGCCCACCAGTTTCTAGGATGAGATAAATTACACAGAGAGAAGCTGGACAAAACCTATTTTGATCAAGGCTGAAACTCAATAGGTAAAATATAATGAAAGATATCACTTCATTCATGGTGGGAGTGTTATGACAGAGGAGCAGCAGCAACAACTTCAGAGTATTTAAAACAGCACACTGGTGCTGGCAGATACCAGCATTATGGCCATGCTCAATGCATGCACATAATCCATGGACTGACCTTGAGACTCACAGTGCAGGCAGAAATCCAGCTCTGAGACAAAAGGAGATACTTGGGCAGCAGAAAAAGGGGTTGAGGAGACAATATCCCAGATAGAACAGAAGAAAAGGCCAGACATACACAGACACAGAGAAGGAAACAAAAACAAGAGAGAGACAATGAGACTTGTATGAAAAACCTAAATCATGGTGGGAGACAGGGGCTGGTAAAAGTACACTGCTCCTCCTCAGCAGTCTGTGACTGTGCTTCAGACCATGCCGTGTCCTCCATGAAATGGACACCAAGGAGATTAAACTCCAAACTTCCTTCCAATTATGCAACAAAAACTGTGAACTCAAACACACTGGAAATCTTAAAATGCTGCCAGCATGAGACCATGCCTTGCACAAAGTCACTGTTCACAGCACATG